AACACTATTAGGTATCTTTTCCAACATAATGGGATATTCCCCAGGGCATCTCCCATAACCTGCCTGTTCCGGTGGTGTTTTGTAACTTTACTTGCTTACATGACTTCACATCTAGGGGATTATGGCTTCTATCTCCCAGCGGCCAGGCTGGGGTCATAGGGGACTCCGCATAGTCAAAATATATATGAAAAATGGAGGACTTTTACTAACAGTTGGCTTAACTGTCTCTTTATTTATGTAGGCTACTGATATACCTATACAGCCTAGGTCAAGACTATCTGAAAGACCATGTCTTCCTATACTAACATATAAGAGTCTTAAGATCCTCATGGGAGGGTTTTCTCTTGGTCCTGCCACCATCACAGGCCCATCTGCTGAGGAATCAGGAGACCCATCTCAGTGGTTGCTCCTGTCAGTGAATGGTGGATGATGTGTGTTGCAGTTACCAAACAGCAGAGTGCCCATCAAGCATTTTCTGACAGCTCCCACTGTCTGGAATACCCTTCCATGGGAGGCTAAGCTGGACCCCTCTCTACTTTCTTTTTAGCAGTGAACAAATACCTTTTTGTTCAAGCAGGATTTTTATTAGTAATTACTCACAGGCTGCATCCTCATTGCAGAAATAAATCAGTTTGACACCATTTTAACTGCCATGGCTCAATCCTATGGAATTTTGGGAATTATATGTTATGGCAACAGAGCTCTCTGACAGAGAAAGCTAAATGTCTCATAACACTATATCCCACAGAATTTCATAGCACTGAGCCATAGCATTTAAAGTGGTGTCAAACTGGATTATTTCTGCAGTGCAGCTGCTGCTGCAGAGAGCCTTTTTATGGGAGAGGAGGTTTGCTCTATTTTTAATTTTTGTATGCTTTTGTATGTTTTTGAATGATTGTATGCTGTTTATAAGCTCTGTTTTTAATGTGATTTTTTTTTAAAAAAAAATGAGTTTTAAATTTCATGCTCAACTGATTCTGTTCTTACTTTCTGTGAACCACCTTGGATTCCCCACTGGAGAAAATCTGTGTGTGTGTGTTTATGTGTATATATATATATATATATATATATATATATATATATGCCTGACTATGCATGTGCATGTCTGCATAAAGATAGATCTGAAGCAGGAGCATCATCAGAGGAGATTCTGGGGTGTGGACCATACCAAGTGACACCTCAGAGGGGGGAACACCTGGTAGGGGGTCACTCCTCATCCATCACAAGACACCCACATCCCAGTTGCCCTCTCTGCCAGCCAAGATGCCAGGCTGGGAAATTGAGGTTCCTGTGGCTGTGGCAGTGGCAGCCAGGGACTCCTCCCCTTCTCATGGCTGTCCCTGTCACCATCGTCTCCCTGTCCTGCCCAGCTAGCAGTTCTGACAAACCTGAAAGATGTTTGGTGTTAGGTGGAAGCAGCCCTCCACCCCTACCAGTGAACATAGCAAACTGCCTTGCCCTCCATTCCTATGCTCCCTGCCCCAGAAGGAAGCTCAAGACAGGACAGTGGGAGGGAAGGGAGGGAAGGTGAACAGTGGTGTGCCAGGTATCTAGGAAATATGGTTTGTGCCAGGCAGCTTGACTGGGAGAAAGAGGGAAAGGTGGACAATGAGTACCCCTGTCTGCCTCCTGCTGCTTCTCCTTCCATGTCCTTCTCCTCTCCTTCGTTCTCCCAACATGATACTGACTGCAGGGAGGGAGGGGAGTCTGGGACAGAGTCAGGTGAAGCTGCTTCAAAACTGACTGCATTCTCCTCCTCTTCTATGCCTCTCTAACCCCTTCTACAGGGCTGGGGGGATCCCTGGGGGCGGGCAGGTTGGGTCCCTTCCTGCCCTGTCTTTGCTCCATGGAACCAGCTCTGGTGAGTGGAAAATGCTGACAGAGGGAGGGATCCAGCCTTGGTTGCCTCCCTCTGTCCATGGAGCAAAGACAGGGCAGGAAGGGCCCAAA